GCAAAACTTTGAAGCCACCTCCTTTGCAGAGAGGGCACTACATTACGTTAACACTAGTTGAAGAAGTCAAACGACTGCTCATGAAAGAACCTGAAAGCTGCTGCAGTCGAAGCTCTCGCAGAGAAAACTTTGGACCCCGCAATCAATTCAAGCTGAGCATGACTGATCCCGTAAACCGCAAAGCGATGCACACCCTGTTTGCGGCAGCATTCGTGTACTTGAGCGCCAGGTACCCAATCCCAATCCGGGATTGCGATGTGTCCTTTTTGAGTGTGATGCGCATTTGCAAGCTCAAAACCCCAACCTCGAACACTATCATTTGAGACCTTAACCTGAGACGCTCGAATATGAAATTCAATGCCTTGGGAAGGTGACGCGACAGAACTTGGCGGCAATCCCATTGGACGGTAACCTCCATGCCCTGATCTTGCCCCAGGTGCAGGGTTTAGGAGGGGTTCCAGGGCTACAGTTTGAAGTTTTGGGTCTAACTGGCCCTACGCAGCGTCGTACTGGAGACTGCTTATCGGGCCTTCTACGTATGTGTTGGCGAGACTACTAGAGCAGCTGTTGCCATGGCTTCCTCGGGCCGCTTTAGGTAACACTTTTGAGTAGCGATGCTTGCATACTTATGTTATACGTCCTGAATTGCGCGCTTTCATCTTGGCAGGCAAAGATGTTTTATCTTTTGATGTTGCTATCCTTTGACCTTTGCACATGATGCTGCATTTGCGGGAATGCAGCTATGTCTGTCACGAAGAGCGCTTCCCGTGCAGTTTTGGAGATGAATGTGTTAGCTTCGTTTACCGCACAGCACATGATAATAGGAAGCTACAAGCACCTGGTTGGATTGCGTATGGCCAATTCAGGGAACAACAAGAGTCTACCCTTGCAAAGCGACCAAATAAGATTCCCGTGCGTAGGATGCACAACTCCTAAGTCCCGTGGCCTATAGCTGTACTCAGACCCCACTAGCTTCACAAGGAAGCCCTTGCCCAAAGGTATACGTATACCGTGTGTCTTTCAAGATTGTTCCTTCCACATGCGAGACATGGAGAGTATTTAGCTTACAGCAACCATTTCATTTCGGCCCCTGCGTGTCTTCGCTGACCCTTGCGACTCATGGTGTGCATATCGCTGCTCATTCGGTCGGGCGCTTCGTGGGCACTGCAGTGGCAATCTTACACCCATGAAGCAGCCTTTTCGTTGAGCTCCATACGTTCTCATACAGATACGATTGCAACAGTGCTGTTACTGTAGTTTTCTTGTTCCCGCCATGTGCATGGAATGTTTCTGGAAACTGGAATCCTCCAAAAGGTTCCTAGGTGTAGGGATCCCCCAGAAAAGCTTACATTATAAGGATCTTCTATATATATTTGCCCTGACATTGGCAGCAGGCAGATCCATCTGAGGCGCTCCGGGCGCTTGACAGGGATTGCTGCTTGGTTCAGGGGTTGGACATTGCAGCTTGGGTCTGTTTGCTTGTGTTCTAACTCAGAGCAACAATGATTCAGAGCTTGAGATTTACGAGTTAAAAACTGCGCTAATTGCGGAGCAGGGTCATGCACTGTAGAGTCTGTATAAAGGTTTAGATTGTAGGGTGTGAGGCCAGACTCCGAGCAAGGCAAACGGATAACAGAGTCAAATCAGTAGCTAGGGCCTGCGGTAAGTTGGGCCGGGGGCACAGCGGTGTGGCTACAAGCAGGGATCTGTCTGTTCGCTGCATCTACACCACGGAAATTGTGATACCTTACCTGGGACAAATGCACGTGCTAATTCCGAGTGTTTCTGGGGAGGCCTTCCATAGCCCAAACATGAAAGCTGGTTCTTCAAGGGAGATGAGCTGAGAGGGCGTGAGCTGACAATGAGAGTTCAAAACGACCTGCAAGCCCTCGGACCATCACAGCTGCCTCCACAACAGGCATTGTCAACCTTTGCCAACTCGCAACTTGGGTTCTCCCTACTTGAAGACTTGCCCTAAACCGGGAGTAAACGCCTCTTGATCCAGCAGAGCTGATAAGTTCTCCTCCAAATGCCAGCTCTTCAATGCCGTGACTCGCAACTCCGCAGAGCCCTGAGTTCGGATGATGTCAGAGCTGTCCTGGGGGGAAGGGTTCGGAGTTTGGAGCTCAATGAGGCTTAGATTTCCGGTGGAATCTTCAGAAGGCTTTGCTTCCTGCAGGAAGCTTTGCATTTAAGAGATGTGGAAAGCAGTTCACCCAATGTGGCGGTTCCCTTTCTCATCACATGAACCCATATTCTCCTCGCACACGCGCCCTACGCCCACAAGTAGTGTGAGGGCTTTCGAGTGGGACCCAGCACCGTCCAGGCCTTGGCCACGGAATTTCTGGAGGACTGCCACGGCCACGTGACCAACCGTACTCGGGAAAGAGAAGCAACATCGAGGCTGCAAACTACCATAGCCACTTCGGTCTGAGTCTCATAGGTTGAAAATGTTATCCATTTCTCCAGCAAACATCCAGGACCTGGATGATGAGCAGCTAGGCGTTCTGTTTGCCGAGGGATTCAGCCTGCCTGCCTCTCAGTCATCTTTTATTTCTGGAAGATGTAGAGCCCATCTGAGGGAGGTCAGGGGTGACCGTTCAGGCCATAGTTTCATAAATGGGCGCAGCTCGGTTCCTAGGATCTGGTGTACAGGATGCCTCCTTGGCTGAGATGCTGGCGCTAATGCGAGCTTTTCAAGCATTTTACGATTTTGTGGTGACACAGAGAGAGGATTGGTCATTTGTGTCATTCCACCTGCAGTCCTGGATGATGCTTCAGATTTCACAGTCAGAAGCGGAGAGATTCATCATGGTAGCTGTATAGAGGCCTATGTGGTGTTGAAATTCTATTGCATGATGGCTAGCGTGTGTAGTGTATGGTAACAGCGCCCCCGCTGACCCACCGACATCGTGCGAACACTTGCAGACACTCCTAAAATGGAGAAGAGAGACGGACAAATGGAGGGAGAAATGTTCGAGTTCTTTCGCCGAAAGCAATGCATGCCTTGGAAGTCGACAACCTATGACCAGCAGGATGTTAAGACACGCCCAGGATTGAGCTCGTCTATGAGCTTTCGCCTCACAGCAGCAAGTTCAAGAAAGAGGCCGTCCATTGCCGACACCGATGCACCACTGACTAGGCTGTTCCTTTTCAAAGATCAGACTCAAGAAGCAGAATCAAGGTCTGTGAGAGTGTTTGTCTGTTGATGCAGATGGCAGCTGGCTTGCACGTTGGTTTGCGAGCACCTTGCGTCCCATTTGCATTCTGTCTCGCCTTGGCATGTGCCAGCTTGAATACGCACGTCCGTCCATAATCCAGGGCCATATCGGTACTCAGTGGCCTTCTTGTGACCAGCGAGTCCCGCTTAGCAGACAGCTTTTCGGCCTTTGCCAGCGAGCTTTGCTCTCAGATGATGGGCTTGGGCTTGCAGCCGTGGCGCAGGGTCGTAGGTTATTGACAATCATTACCCCAGAACATTCCCCTCAATGTCCCCAACCAGTTGTAATGGCTGGGGATGCGTATACCCTGGGTGCCCACACTAGCCTCAGAAACCAACTTAAGCCAAATGAGTCTCAACATCTTGACCCTGCAATAAGGCTTTGAAGCGATTGAAGACCGGTACTTGATTTTTTCTTGCAAAATGTTGATAGTACTTTCAGAGGTTGACTAAGTACTTATCTTTGCGTGGCCACAAGAAGGGTTTTCTTCGAACTTGCGTTATGAGCAAGTGCGTTAGGATTGCTCCTGGCAGAATGTTGAGGTCAACTCATGAAGAATTGTCAGAATGAGGGTCGTTTTGCGTAGCCTAATAAGTAGTGGCTGCATTGGGGAAAGGACCCCACGAGGGACGATAATTTTGCTAATCTTTCATGTTGTTTCTGCGATTGTTTCGACATCTATCGGACGCATGCTGCTGAGGGCACGGCATGGCGTCGCCCAGCCTCGATGATTTCGAGAGCCTCAGGGTGCTCGGTAAAGGGAGCTATGGCAAGGCGCCCGGGGATGCATTTTGGATCCTGAGATCGTTGTTCTGAAGGCATTTGATTGGAATTGCATAGGAAGTTTGTCTGAGTTGTGTAGAACTCTTCAAGCGATTTCTTTCTGGTATGGTAACACTGCAACGCTGGTTAAAGTATGAACCCTTGCAAAATACCCTCCTTTTGTGCTACGTTACTACGGTTTTCCCGAGATTCCGTTTGATGAGGCAGACATGTTTCTGGGCTGGAATCTTAACAAGCTCCACTCATGATCTCAGCCCATGATTTCGGGTGATGGAAGAGGTCTTGAAGTTCGAGAATTGCATCTCCAATCATTTGCCTCTTCCATCCTCAGCAATCATCACTTCAAATCAGAAGAAATTTCTTTAGATTACCGAACTTGCCGTTTTCCCTCCCAAGAATTACGGCCCTGAAATTGAAAGCTCCCCAATGGACGAGAGATGCGAGCCAAGGTGTACCTTGTTCGCCGCAAGAGCTTCGCATTCAAGGAGGTAACCTTTTTGTTTCTTCTGCCGAGGGCTTTGCTGGGTGGTGTGTGGATACTGAGCTATAGGCTAAGGAGGTTCTAAGAGCCAGCTTGCTACTTTGAAGGTCACGTTTGGGTGTGGGTCCCTCAAAGCCTTAAAGTGGAGCTTTCTCGGGCCAAGACCCACTTCTAGAACATCCAACATCAGAACGGTAGGGCAATCTTGTTATCATGCCTTTGGAGCATTTTGATACTCAGGATCTGTACATCCCCAAAACATTTGAATCCTTTTGGTGAGAGTGCCCCGAAAGATCTCAAATTTGGGGAGCTTCCGTATCAATGGCGTTTGTGAGAGCGGATGCGTAAACTTGCAAGTTCTCCGGAGTTCCAAAAACCAGATACGAAGTCCTCGCATTGTGATGTCGGGCCCTTTGCTTGTTGTGATGAACTGGGTTGACCTTATGGGAAGCCTATTGTCGAGGGTCTACGTGACATTTCCTGAGCGTGCCCGCAAACCCAGGAACTCATCCAGTATGGAAGTCTATGCGATGAAGATGCTTCGCAAGGAACACGTCATGAACCGTTCCTTGACTCTGATTTTGTTTGTACTCAGGTCATATTGTAGTGTGTATCCATCATGTTGCAGCATGCCGGAGGTCGCTAGCAACAATTCTCATCGCAGCCCATCTACATTTTGTCGGCCTGTCAAGAGTTTCAGTGTGGTAGGCCGTGAAGGCGATGGAAGAAGCCTTAATTGCCTCTGCAACCCCAGAAATTGTTTGTCCGCTGAAGCAAGGCAATCAGGTCGAGCACACCAAGACGGAGAGGAACGTGCTCGAGCACGTGAATCATCCGTTCATCGTGTCCCTCCACTACGCGTTTCAGACTCCCAAAAAGCCACTCAGAAGCAAGTGCATGCAGATGCCTCTTAGTAGGTTGATTCGGAATGATTGCCAGCCGCAACCTTCAAGATCATAAGTCAAACTTGCTCTACACCTGGCATATCAGTGCCTTGGGTACTGCACTGGATCGCAAACCTCCAGAGGAAAGTCTGCATAAAATGTCCTTCCCGTGCCTGTAGTATAACGCCTCCTTGTACCCCTAGCATGCTGCGTTTCGGAAGACTACTGCACTGCAGGGCTTCACAGAAACCTTTGCAGAGCATGACCTAGAAGCTCTTATCTCCTTCTTGACTGAGGCTGTACTTGGTTCTCGATTACTGCCCGGGTGGGGAGCTCTTCTTTCACCTGAGCCGTGCTGGGCGTTTCTCCGAAGGGCGCACGAGGCAGGCGCTGGTTCAACTGTCCTCCTTGAAGAGGAGTGGGATTGGGATAGAGGAGTCCGGCATGGCATGTGCAGCGGGATTAACGTTGATATCAGCCTCTTGCAACCCTTATAAATTTGGGCCTGCAGCTGCTGAATGTCCAGGTGGTGTGTTAGTGTCTTTAGTTTGGAAAGAGGAGGTTGGAGCGGCCTCGTGCTTGTGGATGAACATCCGAAATTTGTGGGGATTGAGCTCTTGGCTAGATACACTATACACGACAAAAGTCTGTCATCGGACCCCCATGGCTCTTGGGGTATAACGGTTCGGCCTGGCAGGTTTTACATCAGCGAGATCCTCTTGGCCCTGGAGTACCTGCAACATGGCAGCAAACTTACGCAAGGAGCTCTCATTTTGTGGAGCCCGAGCCCCAGTTCATGGATTGCATGGCTCCACATATATAGGAGAACTGTTTGCCCTAAGGGCACGCATGGAGTTTTGCTGCGAATAGTTGGCACAAGTCATTCAGGCGCCCTGCGGCTGTAGTGGTCCCAGCATTCTTAGGCACAGCCTGAACATCATCTTTCGCGACTTGAAGCCCGAGAACGTGTTGTTGGACGCTGAGGGCCATGCCACTGGGTGCTAAAGGAGTCTGCCCTTGACTCAACTTCTTTAACGGGATCTAAAGGGCCTACTCGCGTTTCTGCCTTTGACCGCTACTCCAGAGTCCCTGCAACCCACATCCTGACATGAGAGGTTCTGAATCAAGCTTCGTAGCATTAACTAAGAAGGAATGCATGCCAGCTTCTTATGATGTCTGGGATCTCCCTTTCCGATGAACCACAAACCCTAAACCTATAGTAGTTTCCATGTTCTTTTCCATTATCTCTATAATCCTATAATACCTAGGTATACAAAAAAACCAAGATGACCAGGCCAAGCTGACGGACTTCGGATTGAGCAAGGAAGGCATTAGCGACAACTTCTCCGCCCGGACCATGTGCCTGGAATGGTATGAGGGTGATGATTTTAGGGCCTTAGGTGGGGCTTGGGGTTGGGGATGTTTCAAAAGTTGACATGCAAGGTTTAGGATGGCATCTAAAGTAGGGTTTGCAAAGATGAGGACGTAGCAGTCACGGCTCAGGGACTTCAACATTTGTCACGCACAGAGCTGCCCATCATACTAGCAGGCCTCAGCCACAGTAGCGACCTTCAGCAGGCTTTGCAGCAAGCAGGCTTGGGGGCAGTTAGGAACTGGGGATTTCAAATCTTCATGTTCGCGTGGACAGCCAGAAGAGATTTAGCAGTTTGTGTGTTCTTTGCACAAGATGTACATGCAAAGTCTTTTCGGCCCCGAGGTCAAAAAAGGGAGGTTCTTGCGCTTTCGTCCTTGCAGTTGTGGCGGTTTAGGGGTTTCATGGTATCGCTAGGGCTGGAATGGAGGGCGAAGGCTAGGTTTGGGGCGTGATAGATAACGTCTGCTTGGAGATCTTTTTGGTTCTTCCCTTTGATTGATGTGGGCTACCTTGATTGCATCACAGGACACTCGCTTTTGAATGGGTGTGCGCTCCTACGATTTCGTTACAGCTTTTTCTTGCTGCTGGGGCCCTCTGCGGAAAGACTTGATTTTGTGTTCTCTATTTGGAGGTAATGTGGACTCGTGGATTCTTACGAAAGAGCCAGAAAGCCTTCTTTACCTTACCTTGCAGTGCCCCCCCCATTTCAGGTTGGCATTTACCTGGAACCCTGCTATGAAGAGCCCATCAAATCACAATGGCAGGGCCGACAAAGACGATTTTGCATTGCTAAAATCATCTTGGCACTTTATCCTCATGAATACAACCCCCACGTAACTACATTATCCTTAAATACTTTCAACAGAGCCCTGACTGCTTGCCAGAGACCAATGAGCAGCCCAGGTGCGGAACACCAGAGTATCTGGCCCCAGACGCCTGGCTTACAATAGAGTTGTCATAATGTTCAGTCCGACCCGGGATTGGGTCATGCATGAATGGGGCCATGGCCCACATCCAGCGCCAAGCGTTCCCTTACCCTAAGCTCTGAACCCGCAAACCTGACAAGGCCAAGCCTAGATCTCAACTGGGTAGGCCCCGAATATATATTTAATGTTTTCCTAATAAGGGAACCTATAGACCAATATTTTTCTAAAGGCTTTAGGGGCCAACCCCGTTCACTACTTCCCAGGAATTGCTGGACAAGCGTGGCCACGGGAGAGCGGTGGATTGGCACCTGGGTCATGCATCACTGCTATAGGCCAAAATACTTGGAATACTACTGCCTGGAGTTCTATAATATGGTAAGTATGGTATGTAAGAGTTTCAAGAGGACTTACGAGGATAGTTGCTAGCAGTGCAAAGATTAGAGACTTCCTGCATTGAGAGCTTCATTAAGACAACACATGATTCCGACATCGCGCCACTCTAGCTATCAGATGGTTGCGTAATTACTTGAATTGGGTTCGGCCTCCTCGGCTGCAAGACGTTGAATTGTGCTGTCATCTCTCGCATTTTTGTTCGGTGTCCCCACCAAAGCTGAACCCTCAGCTTTTTGAGGTACTCCTTGGGTGCCTTGGCATACGAGATGCTCACAGGCCTGCCCCCATTCTACACCCAGGACCAGTCTGGAGGATAGAGGTTTGCAAAGTAAGTGCTCGCAAAGCTTGGTCACAATCCTTTTCTGGTTGTCTCCAGAGTTCAAGGTTGCAAAAGGTGTTCGTGGGCTGGGGTTCTTCCTGCAGTGATAAAGTTCGACGGCTGGCAGGCCTGCGCGCACACAGGTCCCTGCCCCAAGCCCCCGAACCCAGCAGATTTGAACCCCTGCGGCACTGACCCTCATGGCAGGACCGCAACCTCCTCTTTGAGCGCATTCGCCGCGCCAATCTGTCCTACCCCTCATACATTTCACCTGTCGCCAAGTCCCTGCCTCTTGGCCGTACACGCCGAAGCTTCATGAGAAATTGTGGAGAACATCCGCATGCATAGTGAGTCATAGGGCACGTTCAGGTTTCAAATTTCTGCATTTTCTGCATAGCTACTAGTCTGTTTCAACGTCGGCTTTCCCGTGTGTGACCCTTGGAATTCCCCTCAGAAATTTTGGCCTTCCATTGTAAGGAACGCTTTAATGGGATTGTAAGATGCCTGGCCAATGCCTGGCCGAAAAAGAAATGTACAGGAAGGGGATGCGCGTGTTCAGCTTTGGGATGGCAAGCTTCGCGAAATTAGACATTCAAATGATCATGGAAAGACATCAGAATGCAACATCAAAACGAAGCAAGTCTGCACACGCAGCGGAACGCTAGAGCAGGCTGTGGTCATTCCTTGCAGTAAATTGGGCTTTCAGTATATGTAATTGGTCCAACTTTTGTTGCAATGCTTTCCCCAAAAGCGGAGAGCACCGCAACTCGGGGTTGAGGGATACGGGATACCTCCAGACTTCATACACACATTGTGTGCATTCCCTAAAAATTTCACTGTTTAACTCTCTCTACCCCTTCGGCCCAGGCTTGAGGGGCTTCTTACGCGTCAGCCAGAATCACGCCTGGGCGGCGGACCACACGACGGAGCCGAAGTTCGCGCTCACGGCTTCTTCGCATCCATCGACTGGAATGCGTTGTACCAGCACCTAGGCACTCGTCAGTAGCATTCTATCTTCTGATCTTGAAGCCCGAGGGGAGAGAGGCAGTACAATAAGAATGTAGCAGTACAATAAGAATGTGCTTATTATCCCTCCTTTTCTACTGCAAGCCACCCTGCTCCCACTGCTGCCCCTGTGCTCTGACTGCTACGACGATGATCGCCACGCCTTCCCCTGTGTAAGGTGCCAAGTGACACCGCCCTTCAAGCCGAAGGTGTCCGGGGCCGGCGATGTGTCCAACTTTGAGAAGGCCCTGGGGGTGAAGAGTTTGTTGTGTCAGATTCGGGGGTTGAGGGCTAGGCGGCGGCTAGGCGTTCTAGATTTGGAACTGTCAAGTTGGGAATGAGGGATAAGATTGAGGTGGTAGGTCCAAGGGCTTCGGGTCGTGGGAGTTCAGACCTTGTTCACGGACACTTCAAAATAGAATTCGCGAAAGGCTTTGGCACAGGCATGTGATCCTGAGAGCTATATTATGCTGCTTCCGAATTGAGTCTCTTCTGGCCCAAGTACTCTCCAAATCCCCTATGCCATAGAATTACTATTCTTTTGAACCTATAGGAATTAGGCCTGGACCCCTGAAACCCCAAATCGCACAGCTGTGATGAGGAGTTCGTAGATATGCCGGTTGCCATCTCGGAGGCTGGTCCGGGAGCCCAGGGAACCTTGGGCCATTTTCATCTTAGTTAGGCATACTACGAAATCTAATGCTATCTATATAGTAATTATGAAAGACTATGAGATTTAACCTGGTCATGTAAGTCTACCTTTATGTTTTGTACTGTTTTTTGTGACATTGGTGTCGTATTCTAGACCTTGGGTCTTGGACTACGAATTGGTCATGGCGTTTTTTCTCCTGGTTTAGGCTTCACTCTCAAAAGATGGCTTTCAGTCTTTGGTCGTGAGATTAAGGACCGGGGCCTAGAATGTAGCATTCTTGTTCTCGAGGACCTTGTATTTGCTGGGGTCGAAATTCTCAGCATGGTGGTATTGTCCCATGTCGGAGATCCCTTTTCCGTTTCCTTATGAAACGCCCTGAATGTAGAGAATTCCCCCCTCACCTCTGTCAGAGTCCCAAGCCGAGCCTAGAGCTCATAAGATTTGTGAAGCAACCCAGGAGTTCACTTCGATGGTTTCACTTACCAAGGTAATTGAATCTTGGCAGCATTTGGTGCAAGGACGTAGATGGGGCTTGGGGCTTCGCAGCATGCATGCTGTGTGGGTCATGATTGTGGAGGGAAGTTTCAATTCAGTTCAAGGGTCCTGAAAGAAGAAGAGAACACGGCCACGGCATCAGTCTTTCAGTGCATTTGAGGCTTCAGCTTCTTCTAACCATCAGGCTTTGTTTTGGGAATACGTAGGGCTTCAGCAACCTAATTTAGAGGCAGTTCCAGAAATGTCGACCCGTTTGGGTTTGGTGGGTGGGGGGGGGCTTAGTTGATCTTGGAGTGAGTGTGGCAGGCTCAGGCTTTGTAAATTTGAGTTTGTGGGTGAAGGCGGGTTTAAGTCGGCGCTTGGTCATGCTGATCCCTTGTTGAGTCTTGGCATTCTGTGCAAATCTACAAGTCTAGAAAGCCAGCCGCTTGATGTCCCGCACAGCTATATTCCAATTTATGCAAGCTTTGATTCAGACTTTGTCTGTTTTTCGTCATGTTGCCAGGTTGCTTCCCATTTTATGCAAGCTTTGATTCAGAATTTGTCAGTTGTTTCGTCATATTGCCAGGTTGCTTCCCATTTTATGCAAGCTGTGATTCAGAAGTTGTCTGTTTTTTCGTCATATTGCCAGGTTGCTTCGAATACCCCAGTCTACTTCCAACATGCACACGCTGCCCGAAAGCTCCCAGCACAGCTCAGGAATTTCAAAACGACACCCTTCGCGTGCAGACACTAGAAAAGCACATTCTGTCTCCTGTCTACGCGAGATTCGCTTGCGGACGGAATACAAAAAGGAGCTGATGAAAATGATACAGGTCTTGAGGATGGGATGGCGTGGCTTCAGTTTCTAGCGGACACGCAAGAGCCCAGATGCAGAAAAGAGACATCCCATCCTTTTATGATGCTTGCACTACCACGAGTTGCAGTCAAAGTGAGGGTCCCACGGTCAGTACAGGAAGTTTCTCACTGGCCCAATGACTCCGACCGTCATAAATCACATAGCTGACGGTTCTGTATCGAGGGCATATCGGAGTAAGTAGTTGGGCAACAGAATCTTTGGACATTACGCTATCCGATGCTAAGGCATCCGAGTCTCTTGAACCTCTTTAAGTCTTTTCGCCAGACATGCACATGGCAGCATTGACCATACCCAGCTTTGCTTTTAGCCTGCTTCTGCTTGGTGGCTGCTTCTCATGTCGCCAGATAGATATATCGATGAGGGAAGGATGGACGGCCCTGCGGTGGTAATTTGGAGGGATTTGGACTCCATCTTGCAATTTTGCAAAACATGAGTTGGTTAAGCATGATCTGAGAAATGTTCACGGGAGCCAACCCTAACCCGAGAGAACAGCATCGACTGTACAGAGTCCTGTGCAATTAGGATTGTCTCGGGGTTCGTTGCTTGAATGCGCACACGGTCTTGCTGAACATCTTCAACAGTCAAGCCGTTCTTTGGAGGGCAGCATCCAGCAACAACAAAAACTCAAAATCAGCTTCGCCAACGCAGTGCAGGTCATGCCCCTGCCAGAAGAGCAGGATCCCTTCGTGGATTCCGAAGCAGAGTATCGAACTCGCAGAGAGTCCGGGCCCCGAGTGAGATTCTGCACAACACTTGTTTTACATGAGCGCCCCTCCCCCTTGTAGACGCACAGGTCCCCTCTACAAGGCCGAAATAGTGTTGCTGGGAGACTGTCAACGGTGCGTGCTGCAATCCAGTCTAGGTCCATTGAGACTTAAGGAAGTTCTGTTAAAACTGCCAGTCAGCGTCAACACGAGTAGCCCTCCGGCTTCAAATTGGAGATCATGCGCTTACACATGCCCATGCTAACTTAGTATACAGAAAATGCTCATCTGCTTGTCATGTGGAAGCATTCTCACACCCCGCCTTCATTCAAACCAGTTTGAGAAACTACAAGTATAAAGGCCCTTCAGCATGAAGTTTCAAAGCCCCGCGCTGAAAGCCCGACCATGAAAACCTTTCAGTAACAGTGTCAGTACCTATTGACCTTACTAGTGCAACCACACTCCCTTCTTCAGTCAACTGCTTTCCTCATGCCCTGCTCGACAGCGACCGGCCAAGTTACCTTCGCGAGCGCGCGGCTTGGCAAAAGCGGCAGATCTATCGGCAAGCAACGCTCTCAGTTGTTCATTCTCATTGACACTCTGCATGGGGCTATGCAAGGCCGAAGGGCCGTCTGGGTTTTCTGACCTTTTTCATGTACTGTAGGGGTCCGAGGGATGGGGATGTGTGGCTGGCAGCGTTAGTTTTTAGATTTCAGGGCTTGAGTTTCAGATTCTGGGTGCTCTCCGACACAGGACCCTTAGAGCTACTGATAGCGCTGCAGGCTAAAGCCTCAACATCTCTTCGCCATGAACATATTTGACTGACAGTGTGAAGTGAATGGTGCCAAGGAAATGATTCCAGGGCCTGGCCTGCTGTGTTGAAACTCTTGGAGTTTTGGGATACATATTGTAGTCATCAAAGTATAGGCCTCTTAGGAGCATGCAGGCGTCATGTTGGGAAAGTCCAAGGTTAGGCTGCTCTGCGGAACTGTGCAGGGTATCCAAGACGCAACAACGGGAGAGAGGCTCAGGAGCCGAGCATACCCGAACTACGAATCAGGGAGTTTTTTGTTGGGCCTCCACGAGCAGCATATCAGAAGAGGAGAGCCCAGAAGGTGAAAGATGTTCAGGAACACAGGCTCAACAAAAATCTGGCGGCATGAAGAGCATGAGGCCGGGCCAAGTTGAGCCCAGTTTCTGGTGGTTGGGTTTCATGGGCTTGTGATTATCTACTCAGGAAAACAACCGCAGAATCCAAACAAGAGGAAGCGATTTAGGGATCCCCCCGTTCAACGGCTGCACTCAACTTAGTTTTGCTGGGAATGAGTTCGAGAAAAGCATCCGAGTCAAGCAGCGAGGCGTTCGACTTCTTGGGTCGTTACGTGAAGACCCTGGAAGTGGTGCTGAACGGACACCTTCAGCCTCAGCCTCGGAGTCATTGGATGTTGTTAGCTATTGAGGGTGTTGTGAGTCCCTGAGGAAGCGATGCGGCCAGTGTAATCCCTTCGCAAGTGTCCGAAATGAGGGCTCCTTGTCTCTGGGGTCCTTGGCATTTGGAGAAACAGTTCCTGAGGGCACTGGTCACTACAGTAGCTGCCCCAAATTGCTATGACCCCTGCTGCAACATCATGTCATGGGCAGTAGTCTACAGTCACGCGTCTATGGCACCAACGAACTCACAACAACTCTATGCAACACGCATTACTTTGCCCACATTGTTAGGCCCTGCAAGGACAGATCCCCCGTAAGGCAACACATTGAAGTGTCTTGACAACAACCACCAAAGCATATGGCTACTGGCCTGTGCCCGGAGCTTGAATTCCAACCCTTCTGGCCCCCAGCTTGAGAACTGAGACCGGCCCCTGTCTCAAGCATGTTCACATTCAGGATAAGATGCCTTGCTCTTGGGTAGGGTTGGCTGTGGTGTACTCTCACTCCTACATAGACGAGGTATGGCTCAGGGCTGGGGATGGGGTTAGCCGTCGTTTGGTCAGGACGCTGAACTTCCGAGTGCCCGTCACGGCTGTGTGGTATGTGTCTGCTGCCCAGGTTGTCCTTGCCCTGCTGGCTTTGTAGGGAGATTTCAAGATTCGGGCAATGATCATCGAATCTAGCATGTCGCTGAAGGCCGTGGGCTTGTTTTTTGCAGGAAAAGTTTCGCAAATTGTTGAGAGGGTTGAAATGCAAACGCACAAGATGTGCTGCAAGGATCAGAGGAGTGCGAGCAGTGCACCGTGGCATTTGCACAGTTACTTGCATCCTACAGTCCTACGGTGCCCAAACCTGATGCTTGTGGCCTTTCCACTCTGCCTGCCCTGTCACCACCGTCCCGTCAGACACTGGCTGAACTCAGAATTGAGACTCGAAGCTATGCAAACATGCTTGGCAAGCCTTGAAAGCCCTGTGACATGCCCTAATTCTCACAGAGACTACCATCTGATCCATCCCGGTAACCTTAAATCAGAAATAGGAACCAAGCCCCCGATAACCTCAGCCGCCACAGGCAAGGGGCCTCGAAGCAGCGGATCTTGGATGAAGTTCCGTTTAGCTTGCCGGCTGCCGAGAGCGCACGGCATTTTGACATCATGCGATCATTCAGAATCATTTGGCTTTCTTACAACAAACTCTGGAGACGGTCCTTCTTGGAGAAGGTTTTCAATTTTATTCCGTCAGGTCTAGGCCGGTGTTGTGCAATTGTCAGTTGTCACAGGGCCAGAGTGGAGATTCAGACGGTTAACAGATCTTAGGCCTTGCGGGAGGCTTGTGAGTGGCAGGCGGAGCGCTCCGCTCACTGCACAAAGCTGACCTTGGAAGCCCCATTGTGTGCACAAGGCCGGATGTCAAGATGAAGAGCTTCATCCAGATGTGTGCCCATGCAGCAAGGAGCTACTTTGGGAGAATACTGTCTAGATGTGAAAGCTGACGGCCGTCGCTCCATGACAAGTGTCTGAAAACACAAACCCCCTGAAACAGGTCAGTTGCGCACGCGGCTGCTACAAATTGCTATGATGCTAGACTGCGTGCAAAGCACCATTTAATCCTTAACTAGTCGCCAGCTTCCGAACAATCAGGGCAAGCGTATGCACTGTAACTCCGTCCTTGCACCCTACATGGCCTCTGGAAAGCCATATGCTAGCCTCGCTTCCATGTATGATTGGGCCCTTAGCCTGCCCGAACGATCTGTTATGTTTGGTGTTCATAAGTCCCATCTGGGTTTCCGTCATTCCTCTCCAATCCCTGCTAGCCTACGTGGTCAGAGTCCATGGCCCATGTAGCATCCTGGAACTCAGGTGTGGAATTGAACAATGAGCCTCTCGGCTACAGAGCACGTAGTGACACAGTGTCACCGAAGACTTGTTTTTTCATGAACATCCTGAACTGTGGATACTGAAGTGAGCTGTCAGCTCCATTCTGTGTGTGGCTGCTTAAGCCCAGGG